AAAGAAATAGCAGAATAGGCAGTAAGTACAGCAGTGATCTGGGTATACAAAGATGATGTCTTTAATTTTTGTTTTTGCTTGTTGGTATTTTCTAATTTTATATATTTATTAAACCTTATGTAATTTATACTCATGTATCTATATTTATTAAATTTTATATATTTATTAAAAATATATAGCACGCCTGAAAGCTCCACCCAGATGTTTCTGAGGTATCACAAATGTAACATGGCCAGTTACCTTAACATAAGTATGTCTGGAACAGTCTATCCTAGAGTTTTCCTGATCTTAGTGAATGGTCCATCAATTGTTTACATCAGAAATCATGTCTCTATCAACTTCTCACATCTTTCTTCTGCAACTGTCATATGTAACCAGTCACCAAGTCTTGCTGATTTTCTGCTTAAAAGCTGAAAATCTTATGTCTCACTATCTATACTGCCATCACAATTTCTTGCCTTAGTATTTCACCATCTCACTCCACAAATCAGACCTTTCCCGAGTTAATACTCACCCAACCCATCCCCTACTCCCCACCCAAGGTTTCCCATTGTCCTAAAGATAAAGTACAAATACCTTAGCATGACTTATAAGGACTCAGTCAACTGGTTCCTACATAAAGGGTGTCTCTGATGTGTATATTTTTTGGTAGGTAGCACACTGATTAACGTAGGAACCATCTCACTATAAATCTTTATATTTTGTAGTAACATTGTTGGGGAGTCACAAAGTCTGGCTGAGAAAGAGTAAAGGGGTATTGCCATTTGATTTTCAGTGCTAAGATTTCCAGCGGAAAGCAGGTGACACTTTATTCTTCTATCCTAGCACCATCCTTTCTCCATTACAATGCAATGTCTCTGTCATAAGTTGAGTTGCCATATATGGCTGGATGTATTTCTGGGGTCTCTATTCTCTTCAATTAGTATATTTTTCTAACACTGCCCCAATATCACATTTTCTTAATTATTACAGGCTTATAAGAAAATTTTCCCACAGCTCTATTTACACTAGCCAAGAGCTGGAACCAACCTAAATGTCCATTGACAGATGACTGGTTAAGGAAAATGTGGTATATGTATACAATGGACTACTACTCTGCCATAAAAAATAATGAAATTCTGCCATTTGCAGCAACATGGATGAACTTATAGAAAATTACTTTAAGTTAAATAAGCCAGGTACAAAAAGAGAAATACCACATGTCCTCACTCGTAAGTGGGAGCTAAAAAAATAAATAAAAAAAGAAAGAAAGATAATCAATCACAATAATTCATTAAACTTTCAAATGGAGAGAATGGAACTGAGACCACCAGAGGTGGGAAAGGGGGAGGGGAGGAACAGTTAGCAAGAAATTGGTAAAGGGCCACAAAATATGATTATACTGTGTAATGCTGAATATACTAATTATTCTGATTTGAGCATGATATATTGCATACGGGTATTGATATTCTGCTCTGTATTCCACAAACATGTACAACAAATTATGTTTCAATAAAAAAGGAAAAAACATTATTTCCCTTTCTCTTCCAAAATGATTCTTCTTTTTTAAACTGATTAACTCTTCACTGGTTATTTTTGTATCTGTGGAGAGTATGTTATGTAATAATAGCTTCTATCCCTACACAGCTCTTTTGTTCTATGGTCACTGACTGTCCCCGTCTTAAGAAGTAATCCTAAAAATATATATTACTGAATCCAAGGACTGGGAAATAGTGATAGTAAGGAAAAAAAAAATCCATTATCACAGTAAGGAAAATGTCTCTAGCATGTGTTCTGACGATGAATCAGGGTTGTTGCTTTCTTCAACTGCCTAAAAATATATATTACTGAATCCAAGGACTGGGAAATAGTGATAGTAAGGAAAAAAAAAAAATCCATTATCACAGTAAGGAAAATGTCTCTAGCATGTGTTCTGACGATGAATCAGGGTTGTTGCTTTCTTCAACTCACAAAGGAAAATTCATTGTGATGAATATCTGTGACAGACACTGTACATTTATGTAGTGTGTACCATTTACATATGTCTGATTATATATCCTCAGCCTATCAGGATATTAAAATACTTAAACTGAAATTGACATACTTATAAAACATGGCCCTAAATAATCTTCAGAAAAAACATTACCTTAAACTGGAACTTAGAACTTATTCTACTTAAGTAGAACTTATTCTACTAAAGAATACCTTGGGAATACAGGGAGGGGACTTGGGGAGACAAGTAATAGGGAGAGTTTACCTGGAAGTGAGGCTCTTTGAGTATACCAACCAGTTCTGCCACATTTTCATCCACATTTATTAGAGGAGTGATATCTTCAAGAATTTCATTGACTAATTCCAAGTTATTGTCACTGACCGCTTCTAGTTTTGAATCTTCTAGTCTCTCATGAGCCTGAAAAGACAGAAGTGTATTAAAGTAATAACACTACTTGTTTTGCTTCAGACCATGGTTCATTTCTTGATTTATTTTTCATAAAGTTTTAAAAAATATTACTTGGAGGTTTGATTCATTGAAGCCAAATTTAATATTTTAATCAGAGGCAATACATAGATTTTATAGTAAATGTATCATCCAATATAATAAATCTTGGCTTCTATTACTATCTTTTTTTTTTTTTTAAAGATGACCAGTAAGGGGATCTTAACCCTTGACTTGGTGTTGGTATCTTTTTTTTTTTTTTAAAGATGACCGGTAAGGGGATCTTAACCCTTGACTTGGTGTTGGTCAGCACCACGCTCAGCCAGTAAGCAAACTGGCCATCCCTATATAGGATCTGAACCCGTGGCCTTGGTGTTATCAGCACCACACTCTCCCGAGTGAGCCACGGGCCGGCCCTTCTATTACTATCTTAAAAGTCATGGAAAACTAATTTTTATAACTAAACCATGAAAAAACTGAACAGGCCAGATAACTATTTAAAAAGCATATTATATTCCCTACACTGACAGAATTTCCTAATAACTTTCTAGCAGAGGCTCAAAGTCTAGATGCTATTATCTACGTTTTATTAAAATAAATGATTAAGCAAAATAAAAACAAAGAATAGGAACATAATCATTACATGTTAACCTTTAAAAAAAATGATAAAAATCGTTTTGGAGACCTGAGAACCCTAAAGTTACTATTTTCCAATTTTGAAAATTGTCAAAAAAATCAGTTTAGGGCTGCCAGGTTAGCTCGGTTTTTTAGAGCAATGTTATAAAACCAAGGTCAAGGATTCAGATCCCTGAACTGGCCAGCCACTACCCCTCCAAAAAGAAAAATCAATTTAGAGCAGGTGGCCCTTGACTGGACTTTGAAAGACCACCTGCTTTAATTAGGGGAATGATCCCCTCCTGTCATGTCTTTAATTTTTTAAAATTTTTATTTATTTTTATTTTTTGCGGCTGGCTGGTATGGGGTTCCGAACCCTTGACCCTGGTGTTATAAAATCATGCTCTAACCAATTTTTTCTTTTTAAACCTCACTCTCTTTTCCACAGAAAATGAACCATGAATCACACTGTCACAGAAAATAAGTAATCCTAATTATCCCTTAATAGTAGGAGTAAAGCAGAGATTTAAATTCAAACAGAATGAACACTAAGCAGGTTCCATCTTTTAAATGTTCTTTACTTTTCTCATAAATGGTTGCTGTCTCATTTTTGAAGACAGAAACAGCATAATTATTAGCATTTATGAGTTAAATCACATAACTACAAATCTTACACCTATATTTTAAGATTCATTTAAGTGCTGAAGAAAAATCCAAATTTCAAGTGGTAACAGTGTCAACTAAACTTTATCAGATACCAATAATACTTTTACGTGTTATTTCTACCTTATACAGTGGATCCTTTGGAGTCTAAATAAATCATTCTAATTTTAAAAAGACAAGTCTTTTTTATTTAAATGTATTTTTTCTAGGTGATTCATGAGAGTGAATTAAGTTCTTAAGTGAAGAGAGGGTTATATATTAAGCAACAGTTTTAAGAAAGACCTCAAAAGAAGAGATTTTAAGAATCATATGAAATAGACTGATGAAGAAAAACTGTTATTAAACAAAAAGAAAAATGTCAAAAGGCCAAATGTAATTTAAACAGTTCTGAAGTATAATACAAGCCAGATAAGGATGAGATGATGAGTATATTCAAACATATATCATGAAATGATCATCACCACTGGAAAAAACTAAAATAATCTACACAGTTATCTAAATATTACAAAACAAGCTAGAATTGTCAATTGTTTTAATATAAATATTTGCTGGTAAAAAAAACCAAACCTAATATAGCATCTTTAACTTTGCAATTGTCTAACACTCTTACGGCAGTATAAGAAGAAATCTTTTTTAAAAAAGGAAGAAAAGAACCTTAACATTTATTGAGGGCTTTTGTGTGTGTGTCAGGTACTACATTCTAAGTAGTGTGTGTGTGTATGTGTGCACACGCGCACGTGTGTGCATGTATTCAGCAAAGGCAGGTATGTTATTATTATGCTCACTTTCCAGACAAAGACACTGATGAAAAAAGAGGTGAAGTGATTTGCTTAAGCTCATGCTATTGGTAAATGGCAGTCAGATAGTCTAACACCAAGGCTTGAGTTCTTACTTACTAAAGCCTACTTGACTTTATCACTATACAGAGACCACTCTAACATCATCTTGCAGTTAATTATTCAATCCAATATATGATGCATTATTTCATTCACTTAAATGTATGACATATGCTCTCCCTGACTGCTAGTTTAGTTGTTGCTTGATAGCATGGCTCTTCCAGTCTATATGTGTTAATTGTTTCACCAAACCTACTCTCATAGTTATTTTATACTCCAGTGGTTCAGAATACCACCCTGTTGCTCCAACTTTCATTCCTTTGTTCTAAGTAAGAGCTGTAAAGACCATCTGCATTTCTAGGAAACAGGTAATGACTGGCTTATTGCTTTCAGGTACTACATCAACATATTTTCCATAATATCCTGTTACATGATTAGCACATGGTAGCAGTACTTTTTTTTATTTATTGAAACATAACTGATTGTACATATCTGTGGGATACAGTGTTGAATATCAATACCTGTGTGCAGTAGGATGAATGTAAAGGGCGATAATCAGGATAACAAGTGAGTAGATATAAAGGTAATCAGGATAAAATAGAGCTTCAATTAGACAGACAAATTGAAGGCTATCACCAAATATTCCTTGCTACTATTACCACTTTTTAAATCTGAGGATAGAATGCCCAGTTGAGTTTGGCCCTGATTTTTACCTGTACTTGATTTGTTTTTTAAAAAAACTTCCTGTACTCTGCTCCTTGCTCTGTTGCCTGCATCAGCTGAGAATTCATTTTTCCACTGTAAGCCTGTGTGTAGAGTGCAAGGAGTAGTCTGAAGAGTCTATATGAAGAAGTGGCAGTTTTAGAAAGGCACTGCATCTGGAAGGGAAATAGCTAAGTAGAAGCACAGAGGCACCCTTTGGAGATGTGGTTGTGAAGAGTTATATAGTGGTGATAGGAACTCTAGGATTAGCTTGTAATTTGGAGTTTTTCCTCTATGTAAATGTATTTTGAAGTCCATAGTATTCTCTGACACATAGTAATGTTGAAGGCATAGGTTGTGTATGGCTATATTGGCCCTTTTAAAAAAAAAAATTTTTTTATTTCATCATTACTCAATGTAAACATTTTTTGTGGCCCTTTACTAATTTCTCCCTAACCCCTCCCTCCCCCTTTCCCACCTCTGATGGCCTCAGTTCTGTTCTCTCCTTTTGAAAGTTCAAGGAATCACTGTGATTGTTGTATCTTTCTTTCTTTCTTTATTTTTTTAGCTCCCACTTATGAGTACATGTGGTATTTCTCTTTTTGTGCCTGGCTTATTTTACTTAACGTAATTCTCTCTAAGTTCATCCATGTTGTTGCAAATGGCAGAATTTCATTCTAGTAGCAGTACTTCAGACATTGGGAGACTTTGGTTTAATTCAGGGCTTCAGGACAAGTAAAGGAACAGAAATTATCACTGACTTGAAAATACTAATATCCCTCTCTTCCTTTTTATGTGCACCTACCTATTGCTCCCGAATTGGGCAAGGACAAGTGGGAATGTGAAAAGACTAATGGCAACACAGAAAAATTAAGTCAAGTGGGAGGGCAGGACCATGTTATAAAAAAAACTCAAACATACCTGAAGATTTTTTCATATCAACCTCAGAGACTGGTTCTATGGGAAGAAAGAATCTCACTAAAAAATACAGAAATTCTCAGGGAGTTTTTCAGTGAAATGGTAACCATAATTATATTAACATGGAAAACCAATATCTGAACTACATTTGGGTCCAATCAAGATCATTTTACTTTTTCCACGAAAGCAAATGCAGGTCCATATTTATTAATATGTAGGTTTTAAAATTATTTATTTTAATTGAAATGTATTAATTGTATATATTAACGGGATACAGAGTTATACTTTAATACATGTATATAATGTGTTGTGATCAAATCAGTGTAGTGAGCAAATTCATCACTGCAAAAATTTATCATTTCTTTGTGATGAGAACATTTACGCTCTTCTAGCCATTTAAAAATACAATAAATTATTGTTAATTATAGATGCCTAGCACTAGTGTACACCACTAGAACTTATTTTTCCCATCTAGCTGTAATTTTGTGTCCATTAACCAACCTCTCACTATCCCCCGCCTCTTCCTAGCCTCTAGTTACTACATTCTACTCTCTTATTAATATGTAAGTTTTTAAGGTCTGAGATATTGTGAATAAACTTGGGAGCTCTAATTCACTTTGAAGTCAGAATTTATTTAGTAGCTTTCATGAGGCAAGTATCAACTAGAATTTAACTAATCAAATTAAAAAAGGCAAAGGAAACATTTAAAACTAACCAGAGGGGCAGATGAGCTGTATGCTGTTTGAATAAATGGGTCTTGTTTCCTTTAAAAAAAAAAGCATTATTAGAAAACTAACATAACTCAATAAAAATATATTACACTTCTAGAA